TAGGCCGGTAAAAGTTTTGGTGAGGGGTGCCGAATGAAATCACACGGTTCACTGGAAAAACTGTTGATGGGCAGGAGGAGCGATTCTGAGGCCCGGCGGTGGGCCCTTTTTGCGAGACGTCTGTGGCGTCTTGATCGTCCTGCCAAAGGCGCCCATTTCGGTGCCCCTTGATTCCTCGTTATCCGGTGGACCGCTCTTGCCGTGCTTTTGCCGTGCCTTGATGATTTGCCGCTGACGCTCCCTCACATCCAAACTTCTTTGCAGTTGCTCACGCATCGTGGGGTCTTGGGTGTGAAAGCCGGGGGAAAGACAGGCGAGGCCCATGTCTTGGACATGACCGCTACCGGGTCCAGACGGGCGCGCGGTGAGGGCACCCGACGAGTGAACGATGTTGTGGTTCGTCAGGTTTAATCGTTGGGGTCGGTGTCGTGTCGTGGTGGGCATGTCGGGCGAGGCAGGCTCCTTTTTGACGACAATCTTGGGAGCCGGGCCACGAGATCTGCGCGACGAAGGACGGTTAGAGGCATGGCGGGTGGGAGGAGACATGGACGAGGTAAACGAGGCAGTAGAGGTGGCAGAGGTGGCAGAGGTGGCAGAGGTGACAGAAGTGGCAGAAGTGGCAGAAGGGGCTCGACAGGAAGACGAAGAGCGTGAAGAAAGACTAAAGGACGTACGAAAGAGGTGAGCGCTTGGCCTCGGCTCTAAACTGGGTGCCATCACTGGAGGAGGTAGGTGAAGCATTGTCGGAGGGAAGTTTAGAGGCGCGAGAGTTGGGCGTCACAGCGTGGGGAGAGGCAGTCGAGGGCGCAATGGGAGCATATGTCCTCGACGAGCCCACGGCGTCGGCCGAAGAAGGGGCGGCATGTTGGGCCGGGACCGGGGGATTAGCGACAGCGGTGGTCATGGTCGCAGTGCGGTGTTTCGGAAAGAGGGTTGGAAGTGGGAGGGAGGGGCAGATTGATTGTAGGAGGGTGGCAGGTTTTTGTATGAAGTGCGTTACACTAGCTGTCGAAGGATGTGGGCAGCCAGGGCAGATTAGAGGTTGGTGCAACACGGGCGTCGCAGCGTCCCAGGCTAAGGAAGGGGGGGGGGGGGGTTTAGGGCCAGGTATAGTGTAAAGTAGACGGTAATAGGAGATGATACGGGGTCTAGGGGGCGGGGTACAG